TTAACAATATAAGCTCATATTTGAATAATGATAGATAGATAGATAGATAGATAGATAGATAGATAGATAGATAGATAGATAGATATATAGAAAATTGATCGATAGATAGATACAATAGATTAAGAAATTAGATAGATATGAATAAGGGGAAGATAGATATGAAAAATTGTCGATAGATAGATAGATAGATAGATAGATAGATATGAAAAATTGTCGATAGATAGATAGATAGATAGATAGATAGATAGATAGATAGATAGATATGAATAAGGGGAAGATAGATAGAGATAGATAGATAGATATGTATAAGGGGAAGATAGATAGATAGATAGATAGATAGATAGATAGATAGATAGATAGATAGATACATGTGAACAGATTGAGGTAGCTAGAACAGATATATTCTTTAAAGTCTGCAATATTATTTGTGAATACCAGGGCCAGAGCGTTTGTTGCTGAAATATTGACATGTAAACCAGCATTACATAATAAGCACATTTATGTCTTTGGAATCATCTCAACATCAATTAATGCATGAAACTGCCTGCAGCCATGCAGAGTTGATAACTACGTCCACAGTATTTTCTCTCTCACTTTCTCCGAATATATATATATATATATATATATAATTTCTGTATATATTATGTATGCGCGGTACTTATCGAAAAGCGCTCAATATCAGTGATAGAGTTAACATATTCAATCGTAAGGATATGAGTTTTAACCCTGGGTTCCACACTTTTGCGATCATCAGATAAACTGATGTCTGATGATCGCAAAATCATATATATATGTGTGTGTGTGTGTGTGTGTATGAGAGAGATAGAGAGAGGGTGAGAGAGAGAATGAGTGTGAGAGTATTTTTGTATGGATTATTTTCATTTATTAATCCGACATATTTTTAATTTATTCTTTCATTTTTAGTGAATACCTATATTTGAGTAGATGCTCTGTTTATTTATAATCAGTATATTTATTTATTTCCATCTCCCGGCCTGAATATTCGAGAAATACGCGTTCTCCGGCTGGATTCGAACGTGCGTTCCCCTAGCAGAAACCATCATTAGAATGACATGCTTTAGTCGCTCGGCTAAAATGAATCTAATCTGATATCCGATATATTTTATTTAACCCGATATATATTTTTGTCACTAATTAATAAATAAAAAAATTCGTTCATAAAAAAAAAATTGTCTTTGTTTACGTTAGGAGTAAAACTGTGCAGTCAGAATTCATATCATACTTCATGGTTTGCATCTCACAGTTTCCTTATCCCCCCCCATCCACACAAGCACAAATTGGAAGGGTCCCCAAATTAAATATAAGGACCTAAGACGTAAACACAACAGCTTTTTCTCTATGTGACAATTTTTATCATATTGGAGGTTGACAAAGGAGACATAGACGAGGTGGCCTCATGTAATGACAATATTGGGTACATATGAGGCCAAACAGATGGTGTGGAAAATGAAGGAGGAGAGTAATGGGAGAGTAAAGTAAATCGTGAGCCAGGAAATTGGAGAGCATAGATGGGTGGGTCAGAGATAAAAGAGAAATAAGAGGCGGATAAGATATTGAAAGTAAGGGTGAAAAAAGACAAAGGAAAAGAGAGTAAGATGGAAAGAAAAAGAAAAAAAAATGAGTGAGAATGAGGGAAGGGCGAAACTTTTACGAGAATAGGCAGTAGGTGGTTAAAGAGTGAATAAGACAATATGAAGAAGGTTGAACGGGAAGGAGAAAGAAAAGAAATAACGAAATGACGACATTGTTGTTTTAAATGAAGAAATTGTATCTAAAAAGAATATTTGACGAAGAAGTGTGAAGAGGAAGTATTGAAAGAGATGTAAAAAGAAGAAAACGAGAATAGGAATAAAAAGAAAGTTTGAAGAAGTATACAAAAAAAGAAAAGAAGAAAGAAAGAATAGGAAAATAAAAAAAATAAATAAAATAAAAAATATGAAAAAACAAAAAGAGATATAAAATATAATAGAAGATGCAGAAAAAAGTAGAAGTAGTTAGTTCTAGAAAATAAGGAAAAAGAAGACCCGGTAAATCATTGAAAATAAAATGGAAGAAAAAAAAAGTCGGAGAATATAAAATAGAAGAAAGAGTAAGTCGTTGATAATAAAATAGAAGAAAAATTAGTAGTAAAAGAAAAGTTAATTCACTAAAAATAAAATAGAAGAAGAAGAAAAAGCAGAAACAGAAGAAGAAAAAGAAAAAAAGTAGGAGTAATTCAGTGAAAATAAAATAGAAAAGGAAAAAGAAGAATAGTTAAATCATAGAAAATAAAAGAGAAGAAGAAAGTGTAGGTCATTGATAATAAAATAGAAGAAGAAAAAGAAAATGAAGAAAAAGAAGGGATAAGTCACTGACAATAATGCAGAAGACGAAGAAGAAGCAATAGAAATAGAAAAAGAAAAAGAAGATATAAATCACTGAGAAGAAAATGGAAGAAGATAAAAAAACGAAAACGATGTAAGACATCGAAAATAAAAAAAGTAGACGAAAAGGATTGGTCATTGATAATAAAAGAGAAGACAAAAAAGAAATAAAAGAAAAGGTAATTCACTGAAAATAAAATAGAAGAAGAAAAAGAAGAAGGGGTAAGTCATTGAAAATAGAAAAGAAGAATTTGTAAAAAAAAACAGAAGAATGTGTTTAGAATCTTTTCTGTTAAAAAATTGCAGATCGATATTCTGAAGATGAAAAAAGAAAACGAGAAGAAAAGAAAGTTCGAAACAAGATATGGTTGACGGTGGGGAATTCGAAAGACAAAAGACAGACATCAAAAGCGAAGCCGGAAATAAGAGCCTAGAAGGTGAGTATATTTAAGAAAGGCAAAACGAAAGCGAGACAACGAGAGATGTGATGCATAAAAAGAAAGAAAGAAAAAAAATAACAATCAAAATGAATCAACGAAGAAGAAAAGCTAATAAAATGACAATTTGAAGAACAGAACAATATAGAATAAAGGACTCCAGGACATTTAGGGAAAAGTCTTGAAGTGAACATCTAGCCACCGGCAAATCGGTAACAATCTCATCTGGACACAAAACAATCGGGATCGATTCCACTCCCGCCATTGTAAACACAGTTGCAGCCACCAACCATAAGAAGAAATGGCCGATACCCTACCCTTCCCACTATCACCTTTGATTATAGTTCGTATTTAATAACCGTGATGCCGCGGCTGTATGAATTACTTTTCGACAAGGGGTAAAGTCGACGGTGGTCATCTGGCTGACCGGCGCGTGTCAGGCCAAGACCTGAAACATTACAACCACCCACTACAGCCATTACCACTGCGGCCTGCATAATCGACATCTCGGAAGAAATGGGTCCGGGATGGCAGTAGTAATTTCTGCTTCTTTTTGGCGGAAACTCTTCTTCCTTCGGGCAAATCTGGTCTGTTCCGAAATTAAGTAAACAAGACTCCAGACCGGTGGTAGTAGGATAGTGGGGTGGTCATAGCTGAGATAACGTTTCAGGAAGAAATAGGAGACATCGTCAGAAGTTGCTTCGAGCAGGAGTACACTTAACTGCTGTAGAGAAAGAATGAAACGTCTGCTAAACAAAGAAGGGCGGCTAACTATATCTTCATTTTGTACCATAATTTTTCAATTCTCTTTCGAGAATGTCTCCGCCCTCGTTTTTATTCTTCATTTATTCTTTTATTCATTTATTATTCTATACTTGCTTTTTTTTATTTTTATGATTATGACAATTATTCGATAGTGATTGGAACGAAAAAAAAAGCACTAATAGTAATAATATTAATTCTAGTATTAATACCAATGGAAATTTTTAGATTTGACATTTTACACATGAAATGTCAGATTCAAAATTATTCCTGATTTCTTGCTATCGTGGTGGATTTATATTATAAAACCGCCTCTTCTTCTTCTTGTTTATGTTCGTCTATACATCGTGTTCTTTCAAAACGTGGTTGATCATAGCTTTCCACAAATTCTAATCTACTGAGTCTGTCTATATTTCTGAGATGAGGTATTATGTACATTATTTAAATTATTCAAAATTGCAATATGAGCACTGGTAAAAATGGTTGATAAAGACATTAGGTTTATAATACCCAGAAATTCATACTCAAGGACACATGATACAGTAGATAAAGGCGTTGGTTAGATCCAGTGACAGGACCCAAAGAGTGTGAGTTCAATACCCAGTTAAGGCAGTGGAGAACTTTCAGAGTGAAATTAGCAGGAGATAACTGAGCGAAATAAAGGGTTCAGTTCGAAATTCCAACCACTTGAAACGTTATGATAAATATGACGACAAAGATGAGGACAATAGTCCGAATAATGTAAATAATGTTCTAATCTACTGTATCTAAAAATAGTTGTCGTTTTACTATTCCTAAACCCCTCTATTCTGTTATCCATTTAGACACAAACAACTTTAACCATCAGCGAGAACTACTTTTGCCCTCCACCAGCATGGCTGATGCTAACCCCCAGGAGAGCAACTAATTGCACCTTCTATCAAGCTTTCTACTGGCATGTAGTGGGACGTTTATATTGTAGCAGTTAGGTCTGCTGCTAAAAAAGTTGGTTCAGTGTCGTGCAATACAATTTTTTTATCATTAGAATCTATCTTGCACGTTTATAACTCGACCATTTGATTTGTTCGTGCATTGAATATTACTGTCATATCTGATATAGCTCTCCGGCTATATATCTCGAGATTCTAGACAAAATTTTAAAAAATGTCTGTAATGTTACTTATGTTATTTACTTATTCGGATTGTTATCCTATTCTTTATTGCCATATTCACAACGTTTCGCCCGTTTTATGCTCCGGCCTTTTTCAGGTGATTGAAATTTCGAACCGAATGCATTATTTCATCCGCCGGGGTAGATTGTTCTAGTTCCACGTGCCATGCCTTTTCCGGGTGTCTCAGTTATTTCACTTTGACTCAACTCTCCATGTTTTTGGTTCACAACTGCTGAAACTTGGCACTGAACTCACAACACTTTGGG